ATTTAAAGGACAATTAGATGTTTATTTGAAGGGCCATTTAGTAGAAATGAGCGGTGTATTCTTAGCCCAATTTGTGTGACAATGCAAAGCTTTCCTTTTTTGTCATTTTGCTCAATAAAAATGATTACTCTGGAAAAACTACATGGGAGAATTGAAGATCTGAAAATTTGCGCACTAAAGTTATTTGTCTAGACCTCCATCAAATGGTAGACAAATCTCTGAAAAAAAATATTTCCAGTCCTGCCATTTCGAACCAAATCTCAGTGGAGTTCGTTTAAACGTTATAAAAGTTATGTTACACCTTGCTAAAGAGGGAAAATTATTAATTTCTGAGGCATAACATGTGCAGTTAAATGATAATTCAACGGATCTGACATATTTGATATTGATTTGACAATGTTGTCAAGGTACAATAAATGACACAAAAATATTCTTCGGAAGTCATCGATTGTAAAACTTTATTTTATTTTGTACCACATCAATAACTCTTTCCTAAGCATGACCTACATTAACTTTTTGAGTTTTAATTATGTTTGCATAGCGCAAAAAATGTTTTTTGTTTAATAATGTACCCTATTCGGACAGCTTGTCTAGCGAAAATAAAGAACAAAATAAAAGGATATATCGCACGGTGCATATCCATATCGGTACCCTCTTTGCGAAATCTGCTGAAACGGTACCCTCTCTGAACATGCACAGGTTATTCTCTGCTCAAAACAAACCAGCGATGGATACCAATCCAGTAAAATTTCATTGTAATAAGGAAAGGAGGTATGTCACGTAGAAAAGATGTATACCACGGAACACTAGGATGTTTTATTTATGCGCTGATTTGTCATGTGCCCGATTTTCATGTACTGTAACTTCACAATAAGCTACAAAAAATCGACATGTCTTGCTTCGCCCATCACCTCGACATATTTTTCGGGCTGAAATGAACCTGTGGCTTGATTATATATGCATCATACATATTTAATATGTTCATTTACACATCATCTTCGGACAAATGGCAGTATATTGTCAAAAATAAATGTAAAATTCATAAAAAACCCTACTTTCGGTTTTGCAGCGGCACGGGCTACCTCTCTTCATTTGAATTTTTACATCACAGGTACCCTCTCATTATTTAACACATAGGTACCCTCAAAGCACGACATATGCCTTTATTTGCGTTAATCGTTAAGTGTGTATGTAGTAATACTTTTTACTTTTATGTAAATATTACATACTAAACGATTAATGTATATGATCAGTTCATGTCCTGGGATTGACAAATATGCATTTTATTTGGATTTTAAAGGCGTTTTGAGCTCCAAACCCCAAGTGTCTGTGTCATAATATTGTAAAATCATAATATTGAAAATGATAATGCTATATGTATAATACGCAAACGATTAGTTTATTTTGCATAATACTCCTACGTACAGTGCTTATATACAATGTTTGGAGATCAAAATATGGATTTTACAGTAGACAAACGCTGATTCATGTTCAATATTCAATATTTATCATTTATAACATCATAATGATGTCTGGTCTAATATTACATGTGATTTTCTGTACAAGTCTACGACTGTTGTTTTGCATTTTAATCCCTTGTACTCCATGCTACCGTTTTTTTCTTTTCAGACTTAGTGAAAATTTCTATGAAAGTTTCAAACTTTGACGTGTCTTAAACAAAACAAACCAAAACAAAAGTGGAGTGTTTCGTATTTCTAAGCGTTTTGAATTTTACCGAAGACATTTTTACTTATCATCGAATATTACTGCAGTCTAATAACATATAATGTACATATGCTCTACAAACAAAGGGATTGGGTATCGTAAGAGATTACATTATCATTGATTGACTTAAATGTTGAATTTGTTTCAATTGAAATAAGGCGGTGCTAGGGTGGAGTGTGAACATGGATGATAGCATATACTATACCTTCAACATTTTCATATCACCAATTTATGTTGCCATATTGCTGTCACTATATCTTTTATTTTCCAGATACAAAAGGCGTGAAGGCAATCAAAGGCGTGATTATAATTGGTCTGGGATTTCTCTGTATTGTCATGTTTCTGGCAGGATGTACTAGATGCTGTGCCAATGAGAGCAATAAATTTCGGATAAATTCTATAGTTTTTGGTTCGGGTGTCGTTGCAATCATTGCAGGTCAGCAATTTTAGACATAAAGTTTATCCATTCTTTAAATGTGTGACGAGTAGCACCACCTCTTTGTGGTATCATACACACAGTATTACCATTTTCAAAAATACCAACACTCGCCATTCAGCCAGGTATTCGAAAAAACATTTCTTTCGTGAAAAACGCCTCCTTTCTAAACAACATGCAGAGCTAATGATTCTTCTTTTAAGAGGAGTATGTCATATATTGTTTACCCCGTAAGAGTTTACACACATGTTTCGAGCTTCGCACTATATACACTAAATCAGACAAAATCATGGCTGATGGCGTGCCATGTTAACGTTGGCGCCCTATTCGTCCATTTTGTTATCGCGTGGTATTAAATTCTCCGTTTTGATTGACTTAGGGGTAGAAATGTTAAAATCTTGTTAAATGGGTATGTCGCAGCCCAGAAAGTACAAACAGTTGCTTTATTCAAGAAACTTTTTCCAGCGTGTTTGAAAAACTAAAATTGTACGTTTGTGACAATCTGTTTTGAAGATAAGTTCGATAAATGTTGTATCTTTTAAAGCAGGGGTAAAACGCAAAAACATTTGGTTTGTTTACTTCCTTGTTTACATTTAAGAAAAAAAAATGAATTGATGGTTATAGCCGCTGATGTTTTTTTTTTATGTTTTTGGTGTAATTTAACTAGGTTTTGAAATAAATCTCAAACAATTGAACTAAGCATTTTTAGTAACTAAACGAAATAAAGAAATGTATAGAAAATATGAAATGCATTTCACATGCTGTTTTTCCCCTGTTTTAAACAAGATCTATTTATAGTAATTACGATGTCTATTTATATTAATTTCAATTACAGGTATTCTAATTGGAATTGGACCTATCTTGTACTACACTGACGTAAAAGAGGATTACGATTTTGAGAGAGACGATCTTGAGTGGTGTTACTGGACGGCCGTTGGTTCCGCTTGCGCTGCCATTGCTGCTGGGATAATTGGAATTCTGGGATGCCTTTGGAGCTTCCGGTCATCAAAGAAAATGAAACTGGACGATTAGCGAAATTTTATTAATAAACAAATATTACGTCAAATGTATTGAAATATTTTTTTAAATTATATTATAAACACATATATCTGTCTCTTCGAATCTATTTTAGTCTGTTCGTGAGTAAAACGTAATCAAAATACTCGTTTTGTTTAGTGTACATGTATATATGACTTTACAAGTGACATTTTCATATACGAAAAAAGAAACAAAAGGGCCAAAATAAGCGATGTATCAATTGATATAGTAAGTATAAATGTTATGAAAATGTGATTATACATCTCAGTGTAGGCATCTATATCTATTTCTTTCATTTTATTATATATATTTATATATAAATATTTTTATGTGCGTCTTAAAATATCAGTGTACTTTTTTAGATTGAATTGAGAGAGGTGAGTTAGTGAGTGAGTGAGTGAGTGAGTGAGTGAGTTGGTGAGTGAGTGAGTGAGTGAGTGAGTGAGTGAGTGAGTGAGTGAGTATTTATCACATAGAATGCAAAAATGTATATACTAGAATTTATATTAAAAAGCAAAGACACTCGACCTTTCAATAAACAATTCACAATTAGATACAAAATACAGTTCACAAATATACAACGTCTATTGGACGAGGCGCTAGTTTCCAGCAATTTTGTTTGATGGCCTCAATTTCACACCACCATTTTTTTAAAAAACATTTAGACAGAATTTTGCGTTCAGTAAAAAAATAGTTCATTGCAGACGGCATTAAATAATTAAGTGGTTATTTAATTAAACAAGAATAATCAACGACATCAGGCAGATTTACTCTTAGTACAATATAGATTTTACGTGGTTTATTTTGGCGTCTAGATAAAGTGCAATATGGAAAATGAAAACGAGGCTTCGATTATGATTTATATTAAAAGGTCACATGGATCAAACACTGGAACTTCATTGGGTGTTAAATTAATATGTGATTTCCATATTTTGCTTTATTAACATCGACGGATTCTACTTTTCAAATCAATATCATAACGGGACTGCAGCAAGAGTTATTGTTTAATAATTAATACTTAAGGCGGATAGTCGAGAATTACATACATTGTATCACACTTTTTAACTTTCGATCAAAATGATTTGACTCTGAAAAAAATGTTTTGATTTAGCAGTTTCTTAACCTGAACGCACGTGATCTAATACAGTACAAGAGGGTAATGCTGCTGTATCATTATTTTATTATATAATATTGAAGATAAGCAATATTATTAATTTATTGAACACTCTATTTAAAGGCACAAATATGCCTCAGAAATCCATATTTTTTAATATTGTAGAAATGTCAAACATGTGTTTAAAAATGTATAAATAATTAATTAGGTGCATGTAAGATGTTTTAAAACTAACAATGTAGTGCTGAACATGCAGTTACGTGTCGTAAAGGTAGAAAAATGTAAACAAAGTAGTATTTTGACTTCCATACAAAAATCTAATTCACTATAGTTATACCAATTGGCAAAAGAATTAAAGATACAAAAGATAGTGCATGTATGAAGCAAATGAGCATGTTTTTAGAATCTGTAACAAGATTGTAAAAGTAAACAGTTTTTGAAAGAAAGAAATAGCATTTCTCGGGCAGTGGGTCTTTAAAGGCAATCAGAAAAAAGTTGTATTCCGTTTCTTTTTAAATTCGAAATTTGAATTGATCATTTGGAAGCAAAGTATACATAATGCTATAAATTTATAACGAACAAACTTGTTTGATTTAACATATTCAAAAACGTAATGTTAACTTTTCATCTTTCTGGACAAATGTGTTTTAATATAACATTTAAAAGATTTTATTGATTTTGAAAACAACCTACTATTTTCAGATTATTATTTAAACGTGTGCGTTTAAACTTTGTTGATGTATATCAACATAAAGAATATTTAAGAAATAACAACAAATTCTATCTTTTCAATAACGCTGTCAAACGCTAAAATTAACATATTCAACATTAAAACATCATTGTTTGACGTCAGATTCAATCCGAAAGGTTGAGATTGGTATTATTTTTTTAAATACTCGTTTTCTTTATTTTCACCACTCTACAAGGAACATTTATCGGAGTTTATTAAAAAGAGAAAATTCTAGTTTTCTTCTATAAATGCAGAATTTATTTTCATCAAATGGTGAGTGAAATATGATTATTTTCATATCACAACTGTCAAGATGAAAATAAATCACGTATTTATAGAAAAAAACTTCAATTTTCTGTTTATAATATACATTTTTCGCTTTTTTTTTAACATTAAAAATTGAAAGGCTTCCCCATAAATTTTGTGTATTGTCTGAATTTAGAAGAAAGTAATCCAGCAAGATACCAGTGAAAATACGGAAATTATGTTTCACAGCAGTGAAAAATATTTTTTACAGTGAAAATACGGAAAAATGGAAAAAAAACGGACTTTATTTCATCAATATTTGTAAATATTTCATTTATAGGTTTATAATATATGTATACATACATGTATATCTTATATGATCTTATATAATGTATGTATTGGCTACTCATATAATATATATAGGACATATAATGCTGGCTATTTAAGTATTCATCTGTGCAATACAAAACATCATATATTTACGTAAAAACGTGTATGTTGTAAAACTTGTAAAATATTGCAATAAAATATAATATTTTGCTAAATTGTTGTACGGTTCATTTGCATGTTTGAGCGTAGCAATGTTAAAACTAAATCTGTAAGCATCCATGCGTGTCCAATAACTTCCGACAAGAAAAAAATTATTTCAAGTTGTGAAAAGAAAATTTATTCATAGAACAATTC